GAATCAGCTGATATCGATCCTCAAGCAATCGATTCCTTGATGGGCACAATTTTGGAAGCCTTCGAATTCCTGCATTCTTCTCTCTAAATTTTGGTGTAAACAGCGTCACTGTCGACGAAATCTAGTCGGCAGTCTACCGAGGGGTATGTCCATAATAGTAGATGAATCGGTGGAGGTGCGCGTGAGAGAACCGGACAGTGACACAGAACGCAAGAGACAGCGATTTGGCAGGTTCAGGCCGCCGACTTGGCGTAATACCCTACGTCCTGTGTCTTTTGGTGGGTTGTATTGCGTATGATCAGATGAAAACAAGAGAGTCCCTACCCGCCTTATATAGCCCGGGGTAGGGTTACAGATCGGTTGTTTCTATCCTGATCGATTTATAAGATAGGAGGTTACAGATATTACGGGATCTAGCATATCCGAGCAGGTTTTCTAGATCACCGAGGATCTTCACGCAATCTTGTGAGGCACGCCGACCTGTGCCGTGCTTCACGCTGCGTCGTCTTGTAAGCTGGGCCTCCACTAGTATCGCGTGACCCATGCGCAGTCTTGTGGGCTAGGTCTCTCCTAGCGGCTTGGTCCATGTACATCCCTGTGTGTATCGAGGGTCATACCCCCACACTGTCACATCAGCAGCAAATTGATTACGTGGCAATACAATTAATGACAACAGAAACTACCATGGTTTCTGTAAGTTCATGGATAAATGCACAACACCTACAACACCAAGTTAATTAGTTTCATTGATTAAATCTGTCCTGAAAATTGTGCAGGATTGGATTGGATAGGTGAGCAAATCAGCGGCGCTTTTTTTGCGCCAATGACCGACTGGCATGTGGCATATATAGACACACAGAGCAGTCAGTGCCAAACCCAATCAAGCCAGATTACCACTAGCCTAGTCTATTAGTACTATATCAGAGCGGTAGGGTGGCGCGACGTTGATGCTATGCGCCATTGGCAGTTTAGCACACACCAGTACTGTACCTCAACCACAACCACATAGCATGCATGCTAGTTCTATTGCTAGCTGAGACTACTGGACCATCACCCATAGCATACATGCATGTGTTTGCCATCCAAAGAGAAAGAGTCCTCTGCATTGCAAGACGCCAAGGTGCGCGTGCCCGTTTGGAGATTTGGATGCTGCAACGAAGAGACGAGGCATGCAATTGCAAGCGAAGCGAGAGAAATAATATAATTTTGTTACAACTCGCATTGCATTGCATGTGGATGTGGATGTGGATGTGTGGATGTGGGCGCAGGCAGAGCAGATCAGCAGAGGCAGCAGCAATCGAAGGGAGGGTGGCCCGAGCCAAAACAGCCTAGCGGAACAGTGGTCGCCCGGCCCCCAGCCCAAAGCAGCGTTGCCCTCATCAGATTCAGATGGAGGGATCACAAGCTTCAGGAGCAGGCAGCCAAGCCAGCCAGCTACTGTCCTCATCCGATCCGAAAGACTGCAAGCAATGCCAGCAAGTTCCTCTCCTTCACAGTCACATCAGCATTGTTATATCTCAATTCTCAACTGAAGATAAACTTGCATTGTTGCTAGCTGACTGGGAGTCTTGAGACTGAATATTTTTACTTGAGATGAATTAGGACTCAAGCTGAATGAATCTGGTGAACTCACTCAAACGCGCACACCAGATTTATTCGGACAGGTGCATGCAGATGTGTGGTTAGTGGAGCACCAGTGACGACGGGCAGTGGTCATACTGCTGGACCGCTAGGGTTTTAGGCAGAATCTCTGATGCGATGTGCTTCCTTCCTACTATTACATGTACTACATGATCCTAGTCACAGTCACAGGGGAGAGAAAGAGAGAGCAGCGCAGCAGCCAGCACAGCGCCGGCCGATGATGCCAACGCCATTACTGCACTCGACGTAGGGAGTATATCTGTAGCAGCGGCATCGGCTGGGTCTTGGTTGTGCCTGAGGTTTTTGGCGTGCTTCCAGTTCCAGCCTCCAGGCCAGGGATTTGGTGGGGGTGAGGGAATCACGGGGGTGATTGCGGCCGGCCGCGATCGATCGCAGAGCAAGCATCCACACCACCACACCCCAAATGAAAAGATGCCACCGTGCATGCCGTGCTAGCGTAGTAGACCAGCTGGTGCTGCCCGAGAGGAGGCAGACCGCAGATTAGACAGTCATCAGAGATTCAGAATTCCGCTATTTGTCTGACAAATTGAACACTGCTTCTGATTGGCCTTTCTACGTACCTGAATATAAGTACTCCCTCTTAATTCTCACTTTTGTAGAAATCAAATAATTATAAATTTAACCAAATCTATATAAAAAAAGATAAACATCTATGATGCCCGAATATATTTTCATAGTAAATTCAATTGAAGATAAAAAATGTTGATAAGTTTTTTTTTCTAAAAAAATTGGTCAAATTTAGAAAACTTTGACTTATACAGAATTTAGAATTACATTCTTTTTAGACAGAGGAAGTATATAACAACTATTGCTGTCACTGCCGTTGCGCGGCCAGTAAAACAATGTGCACTGCACATTATGTCATTATCTGTTTCTATTTTGATAAAAGGAAACAACGATTTATCCTACTTCAGCTAGTGCACATGAGGCTCTTGCGGTTAAGGATTAACTGCAAACGATGGCAGCTTGACAAGGTATCGGATCAACCAATTTTTTTTTAAAACAATGATATGAGCTCTGCCTTTCAATTAAGACGAATGAGTTTATATACAACCAAAGGTAGCCAAGCATGGTGCCAAACAGCACGAAATGTTAGCCCACCCACACAACGCGGTAGAGTACACACTACCATAAGTCATCGTTGCTAAGCATGATTGCAAAACAGCCAGCAGCTCCGACTTCCCATGGCAGAACACCGACGACCCATCCTAAGATGTCATACCAACGGGCCCGAAGCAGAAGGCTACAACAGGTCATCGTTGCCGAGCTCAACGGCTTCGCGAAGAGCAGCTCCGACTTCCTGCCTTGATCCCACGCCACGCCCGCAGCGATTGCCGAGCCTGAAACCCAGCCATCGGAGGAGGGTTCGACCTGCGTCATCATTGCCAAGCTACATCCCCTGATGCAGCAGCTCCGACTTCATGATGCAGAACTCGCCGTCTCGCATCAACCAATCGTCTGCAGTTTAGCTAAAAGATTTCAAATGTCGAATTTCACACCACATGGTAATCTCAGAGGCCAACATTAGATCAACACCGTCGACTCAACCGTGGCTTCATTGGCGCTAGCCAGCACTGCTCCATTTGGGCGGCTTTCAAGAACCAACAATAGAGACTATTCCAGACCACATCCCAAACGAAATTGAGGCTTTTACATGTATGCCATTAAAAAAGTTTATAATTACACATAAGTCATTAAAAATTTGACTGCGCACGAGTGCCATCATTCTGAACTTCTTTGCTCTCCGAGCCATTCTGTCGGTATTCTGTTCGTTTTTCACCGTTACATGTGGGCATAGACAGTATAAAGGTCTAAAATACCCTTCTCTCGTCCTATCCACTTGCTTCATTAGTCCACACCACTCGCGCTCGCGTCACGCTTCAAGCGCTTGCGGCAGAGCCAGCGCCCGCCATCCCCTCGGCCGGGCGGAGCTGCGCTGCTCAAGCTCGCCGCCATCCCCGGGTCGGGCGGCGGGCGTCCACGCCGACCTCGCGCTCACGCTCCGGCCGCCCTATCCCCCGGCAATGCAAGAACGTCGTCCACGCCCGCCTCACGCTTTCGCTGCCATGGCCGCATCATCCCCCGGCAATGGCGTCCTCATCCACGCCCGGCTTCCCCTCGCGCTTGAGCTCGTGGCCGGCAGAGCCCCGCTCGGCGGAGCTCGTGCTCGAGCTCGCGGCCGCCATCCCCTCCGTTAGCGCTCGTGCTCGTGGCCGTGGGCGTGCCCTCCTCGCCAGCCGCCCCAAGCCCGCGCGCCAAGCGAGGTGTAGGTGTGCCTCCGCGCCGCCATGCCAAGAAAAAAGGAGATGGCGGTGTTTCTTGATGGTATGCCACGCTGCGTAAGCGGTGCTGTCTTGATGGAGGCGCTGCAGCCTTGGGCGGTGGACTCCGCGCCATGAGCTCGAGGTCGGAGCGGAGGTGGCGCTGGTGACATAGTCCCGCGCACGTCTTGCGCTGCGACTCGGCGGCAACGCCTTCCACGACGCGAGGTTGTTGGCCTCCGCCGCCACCGCCACCACCGCGCTGCGCGACGTCGGCCGTAAGACGTCGTCGGCGTCGGCATAGTGGTCGGGCTCTCCGCGGCCCAGCCGACGGAGCTCGATGACGAGCGGCAGCGACAGAGGTCTTCTTCTGCAGCGTCCGCGTCGGCTCCCGCCGCCGCCGCCTCGGACACGCCTGCACTGGCGGCGCCACCGGCGTGGTCCGCCTCTGCCTCGGAAGCTCCGATGGTGAGAGATGTGGCGGCGGGAGCGAAGAGGAGGGGCGTGAGAGCAGCGGGACGAAGAGGAGGAGCATACAGAGGCCGCCGCCGCGCCATGTCCCGTCAGGTCATCACACTGCAGCGGGCGGGTCGTCGTCGGGGGCCCCGGCGTCGGGGAGCGAGCAGCGGCCTTGAGGTGGGAAGGCGTGGGGGGGGGACGGGTGGGTCGGTAAATAGGCGGGGATGTGGATGTGGGGCCGGGCCACGGTGATGATGACAATATCGAAGGAAGCGCGAGGCTTTATACTGATAGGGATGAGAGGGGTATTTTGAACCTTTAAACTGACCGGGCCCACATGTAACGGTGAAAAACGAACAGAACACCGACGGAATGGCTTGGAGAGCAAAGAAGTTTAGAACGATAGCACTCGTATACGATCAATTTTTTTAATGGCTTATGTGTAATTACAAAAAATTTTAAATGCGTACATGTAAAAGCCTCAACAAAATTTGAAAAGTACAAGCTGGGTGCATATCAGAGCAGAATATTATAACAGCATTCAGGTTTGTGTCATGACCAGTAAACGGAATAACATATATTCAAAGCGGACAAATACAACAGAAAACGTTGACAGGTTCAGGTTCTCACATGCTTTTCGCGCGGGAGTCGGACGGTGGGCAGCGGGAGGTGGACGATGGGACCGTCGCGGTCCTCGTTGGGCGGCAGCGCGAAGAGGGCGTCCGCCAACGCCTGCGCCAGATCCGTACCCTTCCGCAGGCACTCCTGCCTCAGCTCCTCCCTGAGTTTTTGCCGCCCCAAACAAACACCACCGCATTCTGTCAGGAAAACCAACAGTAACGCCGCAGCAGAAAAGGAACGCACGAGGCACACTACCTGGAGGCGGCGGCGATGTGGAGCGACGGGTCGTACGTCATGAGGTTGCCGAGGTCGACCTCGTAGCTGGACGCCGCGATGGTGGCGGCGGCGGGGCCCTCCGCCATGGCTGCGCCGGTAAGCGGCTCGCGGCTGTGGAAGAGAAACAACCGAGCGTCCGAGCGAGGCTGCGGCCTGCGGCTGGAGAAGGCCGCTAGGATTTTACTTGGGCTGGCCCGACGGATAGGATGGTATGGATCTCATTTTTGAATGGGCCAGAGACGACAAAGATGGGAATGGGCCACATACGCTAAGCCCAATATGGAGGGGACAACGATTGGAATTATGGCCTGGGCCTTTGCCCTTGTGAAGTTTGTGCAGTCGCTGTCGATCAATCTTATCTACCACATACCATGTCTGTAGCTATCAATCTAAAGATCTGTTACATACTAAGTGTGCTCTCTCTCTCTCTCTTTCTCCGGTCCCTCAACGCAGATGTTCCCTTTTTATATCGAGTGAAATGGAAATGAGAAACCAGGCTAAAAAAGAAAACAGACTATGGTGGGAATTTTCTCTAAAAAATGCAACCTAATCTGTAATCATGAACAATGCATGAGCATCATCACTTTATACCTTTTTTATGAAATAGGAGGGGTAAGACCTCTACTAAAATTTTATTAATTTAATCAACTAGTTTTTACAACAGTACAATCAGGAAACATAGAAGGAAAGAAAGAAAATTGCAAGAATTACACAAATGCTCCTAGCCATTGATCTATTTGGGGATGAAAACGTGCTTTTGCTCCGAGGATAACTAGAGCAAATTTAGATCTAAAGACGTTTCTACAACGATGAACCGAGTGAACTAAATTCTTGAAGATGATCGGCCCGTTCGGCTTGCTGAATCTTGGCTGAAACTGGTTGAAAAACACTGTTCTTGCTGAATTGTTGTGAGAGAAAAACACTGTTCCAGCTGAAAAAAACAAGCTGAATAGTGTCGTTTTTAAGGTAAGCCGAACGAGGCCATCGATATCATTTCTTATGATCCAAATAGCCCAACACATTATAACAATGATTTCCATGAAGAAAGTGTTGACATAAAAATATGGCGATATGATCAACACACAGTAAGCCGGATGATCTGAGTGGAACGAGACCAGAGATCTGCTTGGCTTCAATACAGAACCAGCCGATTTTGAAAACCCAACAACGTGCCAATCAATTTGACCTGCAATTGACAAGGAGAGAAAATCTTATCAGTTATTTAAGGTGGAACATGTCGGTGTCGCACCAGACAGTTTCAAATATACGGCTCGATAGCTGATCCAATAAGGCTATCGACTAAATAGTTGATATCCGATGTATCCATAAGAAGCGATATAAGAAAGCATTATTAGCTAAATGGAACATGATCGATATAAAGTGTCGAGCCGATAAGTTTGATAAAAAGAGTATAACATGCGAACAAATCGACTGTCTAATATAAATGAATATACAAACAGTTTGAATCTAATCTATTATCATCAGCAGTGAGGTTCGATCGGATCGATGCAGCTATGATAATGATAACAAACTAAGGCCAAAGAATCTATAAAATCATCTATATGTTGATAGATTCATGAAAACATGCTATATGTGTGAGAGTATAGGCAAATCGGCTAAAATAGCCGATGCAGTCATAGCAAACAAACAGAGTATATATCTTGATCATGAACAAGACCATGATAATTTCTAATCTAAAATCTTACCATTGAGGTTCGATCGGATCGATGCAGCTATGATAGTGTCATTAGATTAGATCTCATTAACTAGTGAGTTTATTCAAGATTGAAACATGTCTTTGGATGCATACTATGTTTGATTGGATTAGAGATAAAACAGCCGATCTAGCGGAAATAAACCATCAATTATAATGTTTAAAGCGTGACCAGATCAAAGGATGACCAATTAAGATGATATGATGCTGATCTATCTCTATCTCAATCGGGTGATTTTGTTATAATTAATAAAATATTAATTATAACAAGATCGATAACCGGTGAATCAACCAAAAACAACAAGGAAAATCTTAATAATCTTAGCAGATTCGATAACTGGTGATATTGTATTAAACAACAAGTTATTTAACACAAGATCGATAACTTTTATCTATATTATGATTCATAAAAGATCAATCAGTTGATGCAGCCTTACAAACAATGATATAGATTGATAACTAACTTATATTATAGCTCATAAAAGATCAATTAGCTGATGCAGCTTTATAAGCACAATACAAGTCGTGACGGTATTCACAAGCAAGCTGGAGGTCGATCAGTCGATGCAGCCCTGTTTGCTGAGGAACTCGCCGAGATCTACAGTACTCATACTCCTAATGCGATGGCAAAAGCTAGAAAGATTGTATTGATTGAGTGCTCATTTTTTCTTACAATAATCAGGGTCTAATATTTATACCCGAAACCTAAACATAAATCCTACTCAAATACGACTCATTACAATTCTTGAAATAAAAGAAAACTTCCTAACTTAATAATAACTTGCACCCTAATTTTTTTTATTTGTAGAGTCCGACACATCTTCCTGGCGCCATTCAAGCATAGCCTATTGACGCCGCCTGCTGACGTCATCTATAAAATAGCCGATTCTGACATTGCATCTAAATCAGCTGATACCAATTCACATCTAATCGATTCCTTGTTGACATAATCGTGGAAGCTTTGAGTTTTTGCGTTCTTCTTCCCAATTTTTAGTGTAAACAGAAAGATACCTACAACTGATCTCTGATGCTTTCCAAGATATCAAAAATATCATCAGAGTTGGGCAAAATAATACTGAGACCATGGCGAAAGCGCAGTGAAAGAGCAGGTGAAAAGGTCTTCTTCAATGTTGTGGGTGCAAAAAACACAATTATAATCATCTAGATGCATGCCTTTATGCTTCAATAAAGCTCTTGTGCTCAATCTGTCCTTCAGAACTAACCAAAAGAAAAACTTCCTTTTGTTTTGACAGACAGAAATCCACAACCATCTATAAGATCTATGCACTTGCTAGTGACCAATCAAGTGTCTATAGGCCTGCTTGGAAGAATAAAATGAAGAGCCCTAGATGTAAGACCAAATATCATTAGACTGACTGAGCTGAAGATTTTGAAAGGTGTTGGACAACTCCTGAAATTGGCCAAAAGTTTCATTGGACAATGGCAGATGGAAAAGATTTTGAAAAGGTACAGTGGATGCAGCCACTTTTACTGAAATGTGCTGGGCCTTTGCATAGGAGAAAAGTTCATGAAAGGATTGACTATATATACTTTCATTCCAGAAATCAAGCCATAGAAAACAGGTGGAGCCATTCTACAAATGAATCCTTGCCATATCCTTGTAAGAGTCCAATAATTTTAAAATATCCCTCCACCAAAATAAACCCCTTAAGGGTCTACCACATATGGGTAACTTATCCCTAGAATAATAATGATCCCACACCAATTGAACCTAAGGGACTTCCAACTTGTTAAAAAACTTATGCAAGTGTTTCATCAACAAACTTTCATTTTGGACTCTGAGATTGATGACATCAAGACCTCCTTCAGGTTTGGGTACACATACCATTGGTCATGCTGTTTTTGGGGGTTTTCTATTGTTGAGATCTGAATCCCTCCAAAGGCAATGTTTTCTAAACTTATCTATTTGCTTGATTACAGTCTTTGGTAATAGGAAAGTACACATGGTAAAAGTATGCAAGGCTATGAGAACTGCATTGGTTAATTGTAACCTTCCTGCTTCAGTCAAAAAGGATGAAAATGCCACCAGTCTTCTCTCACATTTGGAAACTAGAGGCTAGAATTGTGCTACTGAAGGCTTTGTGATACTGAGTGGCAAGCCCAGATAAGTGAAGGGCAAGGACTCTTTAGCATAGCCTAGGGTGTTGGCCAAAATATTTAATCTATCACAAGTGATGTTGACTAGAACCATAAATGACTTCTCAAAATTAACCTACAGACCTTTTGTTTTAGCAAAAAAAAATGAAGAATCTATTTCAGATACAGAACTGATTGACATCTCCTTGCATGAAGATAAGAGTGTCATCAACATATTGAAGAACTAGAAAATCTTCATCATTTGGAAATGGTAAAGGCAAGGTTAAGAAATTATCCCTTCTTGCTACATTAAGGACAGATTGGAAAAGATCTACTGCCAAGACAAACAATAAAGGTGAGAGGGGGTCACTTTGCCTCACTCCTCTTCTACAATGAAAAACCTTGCCTGGAACTCCATTCAAAAGCACAGATGAAGTTCCTAAGTTGAAGATGAGCTTCATCCAGTGTAACCACTTTGGAGGGAATCCTTTATGCTCCATGACTTGCAACATAAAGCCATGCTCTACTTTGTCAAAAGCTTTTTCAAAATCTAATTTGAGGATGATGATCTCCTTTTTGGACTGATGGTACATGCGGAGATATTCTAATGCCCAAGCTATACAATCTTGAATGGTCCTGTTCTTGATGAAACCATAATGATTTTTATGTGTCAAAGATGTCAAGACCAACTGAAGTCTATTAGATAAAAGCTTAGTGATAAGCTTGACAGAGGTGTTGAGCAAAGATATAGGTCTGTAATCTGAAACTTTTAAAGTACCATCCTTCTTAGGAATGAGAGTGATATAGGAGCCATTGATACTCTGTAAGCATATATTTTCTGAATAGAAAGCATCACACAAATTATAAAAATTTCCACAAATAATAGGCCAGCATTTCTTAAGAAAATCTGTGTTGAAGCCATCTGGGCCTAGGGATTTGTCTGAAGGCAAATTTTGACAACTGTGTCTATTTCATTATGAGTGAAGTGGGCTATCAAGCTACCAAGGTCAATGGTAATGCCAAATAGGGATGGAAGATCAAAATTCATGCCTGTGAAATTACTAGTGCCAAGTCTTTCTTTAAAAGACTCCCAAATCAAAGATGCCTTCTCATCATGATTGAAAAGTTGCTGACCCTGAGCATTGAGAAGCTGAGTAATCAAATTTCTCCTATATTTCACTTGCATTAGCATAAAAGAATTTGGTGCTAGCATCACCAAGTGTGACCCATTTCACAGTCCCCCTCTATTTCCAATAGGTCTTCTGTTGTTGAAGA